AGTTGGAGTCTCACTCTGTCGCCCAGACTGGAGTGCAGTGGCACGCTCCCGGCCACCGCAGCCTCGACCTGCTGGGCTCCGGCAATCCTTCCGCCTCAACCTTCCAAGAAGCTGGAACTACAGGCGCGCACTACCACGCCTGGCTAATTTTTTTTGATGAGGTCTCGCCAAGTTGCCCAGGCAGGTCTCGAACCCGCAAGCTCAGGCAATTCACTCACCTCGGCGAGTGTAATCCCAAAGTGTGGGATTACAGGCTGAGCCACTGAGCCCGGACTGAACCGTCTTCTAGACGCCAGAGAGGCAACTTTTACAGCCAGTACACAAACAAATCTTCCACTTCCCACCAACTGCCATGCCTAATGCCCGGGTTATACCTCTCAGGGAGGGCTGTGGCTCACCCTGGGAATAGAGGATATGTTTTAAACAAACGTTGTCTGAAAGAAGGGGACTTCCTGGGCTCTTTTCTGGAACTCCCAGTAGTTACACAATCACCAGCTCCTGCATTGGGTATCATGAGTCCAGTGGGGGACAGAGGAGCTTGCTCACCCTGCCTTAGAACACCAGATCAGAGCCGGCAGCATGTCCCCCGTCTAGCTGGCCAGAGGCCATGGAGCTAAGGAGCTGGAGCAGGAGGCCAAGCGGGCCGGAACAAGGCTCCGGCTGAAGACAATGCCCAGGGGCAGATGCTGGAAGCACAGAAGCATCATTCCTGCCATGTGGCTGGCCACATCTGGGCCCACCAGTTTCCCTCATGGCAGCTTCGCCCCTCTTACTGAGGTCAGGACAAATGTCAGTTGGCTTCCATGGTCCTGTGTCTTGGAGACGACAGGTCCTCTCTGACATATGGTCTAGGCAGAAAGTGCAAGGGGTCTCTGGATACCTGAACAACGCTGGAGACTGTGGCAACCCATCGTGCAAGTTGTTTATGGCACAAAAGCAGCAAAGGTAGGTGGGCTGAAATCCAGCCCAGGCTCTGCTCATGAAGCCTTGTGCCCCAGCTGTATTCAGAAGAGGCACCTTTTCCTAATTCATCTGCCTAGAGGGGCCACCTCTAATTTGTACAAAAGATCATATGTGCTATAGACACGCACACAAACGAATTGCTTTACAAACTCAGGGACACACTCTTGAACTCTAAAGTTAAGAAATCCTAAACAACCAGATCAATCCTTTTCTCTTACAGTGACTGCTTGTATCTGCCAGCAATTAAAATGCCTGAACGAAACCCCCTTTTTGGCAGTTGTTTTGAGACCCCTGGCCTATTTGAGCCTCCTGCCCAGCTCCAGGACTTGGTCCCCGCCTGGGTGGGTGAGAAGCTCACCTTGGCTAAGTAAGAAGTGTAGCCAGACGACCAACAGGAACAACAGCAAACTCACAGGGAGGCAGAGCCAGACCAGAAAAGAAAACGTGAGGTTGTTCACCAGCGGCACCAAAGGGTACTTCATGGCGCACGTGTGGCTAAGCTGGGCCTGGGCTGGGCAGGCAGGGTTGCCCCTGGGGAACTGGCATGCTGGGCCATGCTCTGCTTTCAGCCCAATTGTGACTGAGGTGTGATGTAACAAGGAAGTCACAGTATCCTCCAGGCAAAGCCTACAGGGGAGACCCTGAAGGAGAGTTGTCAGGGAAGAATGGGTGAAAAAAGGGGTAGGGAGGTCATTCAGCTGAGAATAACAGTCCTGGCTCCCAGGCAGGCCGGCCTGAATTTGAATCCCAGTTCAGTAGCTGGAATTCTGTTTATGCAACACCCTCCGTGACCCTCTTTCTTAGAAGATGGAAATGATTCTGTAAGTTAGAAAAATAGGATAAAACAAAAAGTGCCCCAGATGGGCATTCATGTACCTGAGGTCACAAATACCTCCAGGAGCCTGCCAGGTCCCCAGGTCCTGCCATTCTAGCTGCATGTGCCCATATCCACACTTAGTGGAGGCATCGGGGACTGCAGAACACTGGCAGGGCTTGCCGTAGCTAAAGCAACCGCTGAAGTAGCTCCAGCTGATGACTGCTGCGAAGGAAATGTGCATCCAGTATTGCCAGAACACTCAACCTTCCCAAGAGAGTCAAAAGGCGAGGATTTCTTATGTCAAATATCCCAAATTCAAAACATTAGATCAAACTTTATTAAAGCATTGTTGGCAATACTATCAGGCTGGGCTGGGTGGGTTACTGGGCTGCCACTTTAAAACTTTCTGACATGTAGTCAAATAAAAAACTGGGAGTTCCAGAAAAGGGCCCAGGAAGTCCCCTTCTTTCAGACAACGTTTGTTTAAAACATATCCTCTATTCCTCAATAAATGACTATTATTTAATCTGGAAGCTTCTGCACCTCTCTTTATTAGGGTTTTCAGTAAGAACTTCTAAAGGTGTTATATATATATACATTTATTTATTTATTTGAGTTGTAGTCACCCATGCTGGAGTGCAGTGGCACACTGATGGCCACCACAGCCACAACCTGATGGGCTCAGGGAATCCTTCCACCTCAGCCTTCCAAGTAGCTGGAACCACAGGTGTGTGCCACCACGCCCAGCTAATTTTTTGATTTACTGTAGAGACAACGTCTCGCCAAGTTGCCCAGGCTGGTCTTGAACCTCTGGGCTCAGGCAATCCTTTCACCTCTTCCTCCCAAAGTGCTGGGATTACAGGCATGAGCCACTGAGCCCAGCTAAAGGTGCATCTCCTAGGTGGGCAGAATACTCCCCAATGTCACTCTTATCTTCTCCCCCTTCACTCCTCATTCATTCATTATTTAGTAAACCTCCACACGCCAGACCATGGCAGGAGGCTCTGGGCATCCCACGGCCCGACAGCCCCTAAACTGGAGGGAGGGGCTTGAGTCAGGCTGGGAGCCTGATAGGCACAGGGAAGCCCAACAGAGGAGTGGCTGCTGCAGGGTATTCTCTAAGAGGATCCTGGGACACTACCTCAGTGCCTGCCAGCAGGTGGGGGCGGGGGGGTGGGTGGGTGGCTAGAAAGTAATAAAGCAGCATGCCAATTCCTAGGTTCACCCCGATCAGTCAGACCTCTGAGGCGGGGTGGGGGCCTATGGTACGAATGAGGTTCAAGACTCAACACATTGATGAGCAGCCAGTGTGATTCTGATGCAGATTTGATTCTGAGACCATGGCACCTTATGGTTTACAAGCATCAGCTGAAAATCAGGCAGACCTGGTTCTAGACTTGGGACAGCAGCAGCAGGAAATGGGTAGTAGACCTAGGGGGAGACACAGTGTAGAAGACCCCTTAGAAGAAGGCACCAACTTAGAGCAAAGGGTGTGTGGGGGCAGCCACGGGAAAAAAATCGTGTGAGGGAGGTGAAGAGAGCCGGGGCTTGGTTTTGAGGGAGTCCTTGCCTAGCTGTGGGCTAGAGCGCCCAGAAGAAGTCTAGGAAAATAGCATTGGAATGTGCATCCAAGAAGAATGGTGCCCTAGCTGGCTGTGCCAGACCCAGGGCCCAGAGTCCAAGATCAGGAGCGGGTGGTCAGGGCTGGGGGTGACTTCTTGGCATGGAGTCTTGAAGGGGTTGGGGTCAGAGAGCTGAGCAGCATAGGTGCGAAAGGCTTATACACACATTTTCTGAATACAAAACCTTTCTAGACAACAAAACAGGGCCACTGTGCAGTCAGCTTCCCTGGCCACTAGGCCCAGCTGGAGGTCCTGTGGTGAGTGGGCAGAGCAGGCGTGAGTACACACTGCAGAGGTAGCTCCCAGTCCAGCTCCCAGGCCCAGTTCAGGGGGTGGGACACATGCCGCACTGCCTCTGTGCCAGGTCAGAGGGGCGGCTCTTGGCAGAGGCATGCACCACAACGGCTCTCATTGCTGTGGTCCACCCACCCCACAGAACCTCTCCAACTACCCCGTGCCAAGGGGCAGTGGATGGCAGGGGACAGCATCCTTCACATCTTCCCATTTTCTGATTGTCCAGCTCTGGGAGGACTCCGATTTTCTGTAAGCAGACAGCATGGCTGGGACTTCCTTGCTCCCAGGACACAGGGCCACCCCGCCCTTAGCAACTCCCAGCCTTCGTAAGATGAGCTTCTGTCAGTTTAAGTACACAAGTTCCTTCCAGCATAGAAGGCCAAATACTTTTATAATTAGTCCAACTTTTGAGTATTTTATGAAACTCCACAAAACCAAGGCTAAACTCTGCAAATCTCAATTATGAAGGGCAGCCAAAGCTGAGCAGACACCCCCAGAAAGGGTAAGTTAGGAGCACCCACACAGGAGGCAAAGCCCCAGCCTGTAACCAAGAGCACACACACAGTTATTAGATAAGAATTTCCTTAAAATTTAATTGACTAAATGTATTACATTCAATATCCATGGGTTTCTTCTGGATAAAGGATTGGCATAAATACAAACAACCCTCTGGGCCTTCTTCCCTAACCGACGAGGATAAACACAGGAGGTGAGGGGACATGGAGACACCTTCATATGTACATTTTATCTTTACTTTACAGTTCAGTGCCAGAAATATTTACAGAAAATACAATAAGAAAAAGATCATGTCTTGGCAACATACTGAAATTCATACAAACTGTATATATGATTTCAAGCAAATAATGATACTGTTTATTTTTTTAGCCACAACTGCCAAGCCCTTCAGAGGAGAAAGATGTCTTGATCACTGCAAGAGATGAGGACTTGGGAAACTAGGTATGCTTCAACAAGTACTTATTGGGCGCCTACTATATGCAAGGCACTGTGGAATCCCAAATTATACTTTTCCTTCACCATTAAAAAAAGAAAAGCATCTGAAGAACATAAGTTGATATTCTGAAAAACACTATACAGTACATGGCTTCTTGAGCTACTGAGAAACACTCCTTGTGACTCCACATGGTACGGATGAATCACCTCCAGTCTCTCCATCTCAGGAAAAGAGGCTGTCATGGAAATCTTTAAAACAGAACATTTGTCTCCAAGGACCAGTTCATGTAAACACAGAAATCAACTATTTTTAAGAAGATATAACCTGAATGGGTTTTAGAATGCTGAAGGAGAACTGCCGCCAGCAGGAGGGTCAAATTACCATCTACCATAAAACATGTATTTTGAGCAAGGCTAACTCCCACTTTGGGTAAAGTTCCACCTTCCAAAAGAAATAAATACTCAAAGAATCTGCTTCACTAAAAACCAGTCTGCAGAGCCTGACAAACGCTTTCCCAGTATATGTAGAAAGTAACACTTCATGAAGGCCTTACACATGGAACCTGTAGGCAACTGACATCACTGGCCAAAGGTGCGACTATTTTGTACTTACAACTGAGTCCAGAGGAGAATGGGCTGCCCTGAAATAGAGGACCTGGAAATGAAGGAAAATGTGCACGTGTGTGTGTGTGTGTGTGTGTGTGTGTACATGCTCAAGTGCATGGCTGGTAACCCATGATGTGATTTTTCCTATCAAAGAGCCAAAGGATAGGAGAGGGTCTTAGGAAGAAGCTCAGGACAAAAGGGAGAGCTGGCTAAACAAGGAAAGAATGAAAAAAGGTAAATGCCCTCCTCACTCCCCTAGCCAGGGAGGAGGAAAAAAGCTCCCCCCTCCAAACTCAAGAAGCGGGTAGGAGGGGCAGGTTACCCTGTCTATCTCCCAGGTAAATACTTTCCTCCTCACAGAATGTCACACTCACCCACCTCGTGGTGCACCGGCAGATGCAGCAACTGAACTGCTTAAGCCACAGTCAAAAGTGGTCCTAGAGTGGTCCTGGCTTCCCCACAAAGGTGACTAACAGATTAGTATTAGGTACTACATATGTTCCTCTGGGGTTATTCTACTCAAAGTGATTTTTAACACAGCAGTGGGTGAACATGGTAACCATGAACTCAGATCCATACTTCTTATCACACTCCCTTTTGGAGAAGGCGTTCTTTTGAACAGAAGGAACCAGTTCCTGGTAAGGTATGGTACCCCATATCCCACTGGCTCTGTACATCAGGGTTTCAACACCTTCAGGGGCTGCACATCCCCCTTCCCTGGAAGACCATTAAATCTCCAGATCACAAACTGCATTCAACATGGTTGGTCACTTAACAAAGGCATTACAATTACAAAGAGGTGCCAAAAATTAGAGCTAACTGAAGGGTCAGCAAGTCCAGCCCCAACACACACACTACACATTTTTCTGACATTAAAACTACGTCAAAGGTAAAAGTTGTATCTAAAGAATCACACTAAAGAAGTACATCTCCACCAGTTATTTTTAACCCCTGGAATGTTGTAAGTTGCACATCAATTTATAGCCGTTTTTGTTCACTTCAACTTAGAACAAGGGCCCATTTTCCCCTTAAAATGTCAATCTGGAATTCCCTTGAAAGTTGTTAAACCTCCTTATTCCTGTTGAGCTACTAAAACATTTTTTAAGGTAGAATTTGCTAATCTTTATCTTATACCCCCCTCTACATACGACCATCCAGAAACATCAATTTATTGTCCAGCTTAAAAAGAAAATCAACTATTGAATAATATTACACCCCGAATGGAAAACTAGAGTCATAGGAGGATAGCTTTACCTGAGCTTAAAACAAACATGAAGAAAAGGGAATGGCAAACTTAAAACCAGAAGCTTCTATGCCCACATTTTTTGCTCATAGATGGCAAAATACATACACTGGAATTGAGATGTCTGCACAGGGAATCAGGTCCTACACTATCCCCCACCCCCTAGACAGACTACCAAAACATCAAACCAAACAGATCATAGTATTCCCGACCTACAGAATCTACTGACATCAAAGTTCAAGTAGGAAAATACTCCTTATACAACTGTGATCACTTCTCTTTGGACTTCAGATGTCACTTATTTACTTAACATAAAATAATCTTACTAAAGAAGAAAGCACATAAGAATAGGAGAAATGAGTGGTATATACTGTAGCACTGTAACAGGAATCCTTGTAAGGATGTTCTGGGTCTGGCTACCTCAAAAGTTTTATCCCTGGCAGAAAAGTAGCAGCGAGGTAACAGAAGTATTTCCAAAACCCTAGCAGGGATTTGTTGTGCCTTTAGCTGGCAAAGTTCAGAAAACGTGACAACAGCCATTTCTAAAAGTAGCCACCCAAAGAGATGGTTACTAATATTTGTCAATCATGATGAAATCCAATAGCTCTCTGGGACAGATCTGAATTAGTAGCATTGAGAGGCTATTTCTTGAACCCCAATTAGAATCCTTCATAAACTATTGCAGTTTTGCTGCTTGGTTCTGAAACGAGAAACAGTGGATGAAACCAAATAATTTTCAACTCCTATTGTGAATTTACATTTCTTTAAGTGATATTTAATTAATGAATCACAAATATGTAACCTGTCATTATGTCACCAAGCTGGACAACAATGGAGAGAGTGGAGGTATCACTGCTGTCTTATAACTTTTAACGCCACAGACTTCATTTGCATCCCCATTAAAGGACAAGGTCATGTCTCTGTTTTTTATCTGTTCCTGGGTCGTCCAGAGACTGAGGTCTTCAAGACAGATCTGTGCAGCGATGAGAATGACAACTATTTGAAATGTGGAGAAATAATGTGAAAGATTTTAATGTCAAACTTATTGTCTGAGAAAAAAACATTTATGATCTTTTTGTTAGTTTGACAGTTGAATGACATAAACCTACAAGTGAGTAGAAGGTTGAGACTTCTTTCCTTCTCCTCCATGCTATCAACAGAGTCTTTAAATGTCCTAGAATATTCTGAGACAGATTTTAATTTTGAATATAACCTCCTAAAAAGTGAGGTATAAAACTATATTCAACGTCTAAATTGCAAATTTGTTGATACTATCAATGCATGTGTTTAACTGAGATGCATAAAAGCCTTTCTCCTCAAAAGGCTTATATTTAACTAAAAGTGTCACTTTTTAAAGAAAGTTTATGACTAAAATGTATATCATCATTACCAGCAGGAATATGATTGTGTCTGGGAACCCATTTCACTAGACAGCCAAAAGTCTTCTAACAAATGGGTTTATAATGTGTTTTTTCTATTCTGGTGATTAAACAGTAAGCTCTTGGGGAGTGATTTGTTTTTATTTTTACAGTGATCACCTATCAAACTGTTTTGCTTTGATATTATAGTTCCCAATATGGAGTTCAATAGTCCTAGACAGACAGAGGTCTAAGAACTGCAGTTCTTGAATCCAACCTCCTGGAAAAGTGAAGTATAAAACTCTGGCTCCAACTGCTTGTTCCGGTACTTGTTTACAATGTCAGTGATTTTCTGTTTCCGGCGGACGTGGGGTGGACTATAGGAGTCACTCTCCAGCCTTTTTCTTCTACAAATGTTAATTACAGTCTGCCGCACCAGAAAGCCTTGAAAACAGAGAGTTTTAAAATAAATGTTAACAACTAGTCAATTAGGTGAACTATCTGTATTCAAGTGAACTATTCTCTGCATATTCAAACTATTTCATTCAATTTATTAGATTAAGAACAATAAGGCTGGGCGCAGTGGCTCACACCTATAATCCTGATACTTTGGGAGGCTGAGGTGAGAGGATTGTCTGAGTTTGAGACCAGCCTGGGAAACTTGGTGAGACTTCATCTCTACAATAAATCAAAAAATTAGTCAGGTGTGGTGGTGCACACCTATAGTCCCAACTACTTGGAAAGCTGAGGTGGAAGGATCGCCTGAGCCCAGCAGGTCAAGGCTGCAATGGCCGGGAGCATACCACTGGACGACAGAGTGAGACTCCAACTCAAAACAAACAATACAATACACTCCCTTTTGGGGGGCAGGGGGTTGGGGTCTCTGTCGCTCAGGCTGCAGTGCGGTGGCACGATCATGGCTCACCACAGCCTCATCCTCCCTCGATGACCACTCAGGTGATCCTTCTGCCTCAGCCTCCCAAGTAGCTGGGACTGCAGGTACATGGCATCACACCTGGCTGATTTTTAAATTATCTATACAGGCAAGTTCTCACTATGTTACCTGGGTTGCATCCCCCCTTTTTAACAAGAGCCACAGCATTTCCTACATGTGGAACCTATTAAGTAACATCACCATTTCCTTATTTTTACTTCTTTTTGGTTTATAAAAATGATAAAGAAAAAGAAAGACACTTTAACCCTTCAGCCACATATGAAGACCTTACCGAGAGCTCGCCTGCTGACGATCATCCCATCCACAAGAGGAATAACCATGTTAAATTTTCCAGTGGCTCCTTGAATCTTTATCCGGAATAATCCAGTGTTTAAAGGGTGGATGAAGATGACAGGAACTTCTTTTTCAAGAGTTGTAGATCTTAAGAAAAAAAATCTTTTTACCCCAGACAGTCAAGAGCTGAAGTCTCCCACATAAGAAAACCCAGGGGACTCATTTGCCAGGCAGTGCTTAGAAAAAAGCCAAGGGGTCTGTCTGCTCAGAATCCTCTTTCTGGGAGCCCCTGTTGTTGCCCTCTCTAATACCGGATCTAAATGCCCATTTTGGGATAAGGTTTTTCAAGCTAACAAAAAGAGGCTGAAAATATATACAATGGGAATACAGGTTGGAAGGAGAGGTCAGAGAACTCTACTGTGGGGAGTTAAGAATCTAGCAACCACCTATGGTACTTTCACTTAGTTCCCCCTTCTTGTAGGGAGCAAAAATGTGGCTAGCCAGAGTACAGGGAATTCCAGCACAGTCAAGGCTGGTATCTCAGAGCAGAATTGGGAACATAGTATAGGCTCATTATGAGAATCACTAATATAAATTTTCTTGTATTGGGGGAAGGAATTTAGGAGGGTCATTAGTCTAGGCCAGCTGCAAGTGTCCTCCTTGGCTGAGGTGATAAATGGTCATATCTTGGCAGGGCCAAAACCCTCACAGCCTCTGACTAGGCAGCAGATGCCAAGGTCAGCGATGCACCTACAGAAGAGTGAGTTACACATCATACATCAAGGATAGAACAACCCATCTACAGGTAACTCATGGTACTTGTGATGCTACATGTTGAAGTTTTTTGTTTTGCAACCCAATGAGCTTTCTTTCTGTATAAGTAAAGTGATTTTGGCCAAAGCAACATTGAGTCACTCTTTAAAGACATTAAAAATAACAAAAATCCTAGAGTAATTCTGTTCCAAAGACAAATTCTAAATTTTACTAATCTACCAATAAAATACAAATTTTAAGGTCAAACTGTATTATAACTTTTAATTTAAAAAGATGAAAACAACAACAAAGACAGGTAAAGTTCTCTACCAAATTAATTCTAGAGATGTCTACCTCATGACTATTTATCACCTCAGTCAAGGTGTACACCTGCAGCTGGCCCAGACTAATGGCCCTCCCAACCTCTCCTCCCTCTACTACAAGAAAAATTATACTAGGGAGTCCCAAAATGGGCCTAAGCTGTGTTCCTAATTCTGCTCTGAGATACCAGCCTTGACTGTGCAGGAATTCCCTGCATTCTGGCTGCTACACTTTTGTTCCCTACAAGAGGGAGGAATTATTCTATAGTCTCTTTAGCAAGTCAGTGTCATGAAGAAAAAAAGCCTGGACTGTTCCAGATTAAAAGAGACAGAAGGAATTAAAACCAGATACACAATACTTGGGTGAACTCTGATTTGAAAAAAAAAAATTGTAAAGGATATTTCAGTGAAAATAGAGAAATCTGAATATGAACTGAAATTTAAATGTGAATAGGAACTAATATTAAGAAATTAATACTAGCTTTATTATTGTGATATTATTTTTAGCTATCTGAAAAGTGTTTCTACTTTTTAGAGATGCATATAGATGTATTTAGAATGTTAAGATACCTATAATTTTTTGTTTTTTGAGTTGGAGTCTCACTCTGTCGCCCAGGCTGGAGTGCAGTAGCACGCTCACAGCCACCCCAGCGTCAACCTGCTGGGTTCTGGTGATCCTTCCACCTCAGCCTCCTGAAGTGCTGGGATTACAGGCTTGAGCCACCGTGCCCATCCCCTATAAATTTATTTTTAAATACCTCAGCATATAAAACATGGAAGTTTTAAGAATGACTTGGCCCTCTTTTCAAAATTTTTAAAAATGATAATGCCAAAATGCACCATCTTTACTGATTTCATTTCAACAAAAATAATCTAACAATGTTAGAATAAATCCATCTTACATGAAAACAAAATTTTTTTTTTTGAGTCAGTATCTCACTGTCACCCAGGCTGGAGTACAGTGGCATACCCACAGCTACCGCAGCCTCGACCTGCTGGGCTCAAGTGATACTTCTGCCTCAGCCTTCCAAGTAGCTGGAACTATAAGCATGCACCACCACGCCTGGCTAATTTTTTGATTTATTAGAGAGACGAGGTCTCACCAAGTTGCCCAAGCTGATCTTGAACTCCTGAGCTCAGGTAATCCTCTTGTTTCTACCTTCCAAAGTGCTGGGATTACAGGCTTGAGCCACTGTGCCCAGCCTTACATGCAATTTGAATCAGATCATATAATTAGAAGGAACTTAAAGTGAAAATATCAAGTTTGGGGGGTGATGTGAGAGATGAGGTTAGCATTCAGGGTCACAGGCCTGGATTCAGATTGCTTTCCTACAGTTACTGGATATGTGATACTGAGGAATAACCTCTATGACCTATTTTATCCCACTAGTAAAATGGGGATAATAATTGTAATCCCATTTATAACTTGGAGTTATAAACCAAAGATAAAGCAAGCAAAAAACCTTAAAAACTATAAAACCTCCACAAATACATTGTTACTATTCTTTGAGTCAGATTATTCTCTTTTTATCCTTCTTGTGTATAAGTCAATAAAACAGAAATTTTGAAACGATTAGAAAGCTAGTATTACATTTTATTTAGAAATACTTTTCCATTAAGTAGCTCATATGATCAAGATAAAAATTTTAACTGCCATTTATCCAGATTGTTTTGACCAATTTAACTCCATTATTTTTATCTAATATTGCTATGCTATTATTAAGGTCTTTCTTAATATTTCATTACCTCTACTTCTCCATTTTTCTTTTTGCTTTAGAGAAATATAAAATAGCAATTAATGATACCACTTAAAACTCCTTGCTAGAATGCGCAACATTACTGATCATTAGGGAAATGCAAATCAAAACCATAGTGAGATATCAACTTATAGCAGTTAGGATGGCTATATTCAAAAAAGCAAAAGGTAAAAATGTTGGCAAGAATGTGGCGAAAAGGGAATGCCTGTACACTGTTGGTGGGAAGGTAAATTGGTGCAAACACTATGGAAAACAGTATGGATTCTCAAAAAATTAAAAACAGAATGTTCACATGATCCAGCAACCCCACTCAGGGTACACATCCAGAGCAATTCAGGATCTTAGCAAATGAGGATCTCAAGGAGACATCAGCACTCCCACTTTCACTGCAACATTATTCACAACAGCCAAGACCTGGAAGTAACCTAAATGTTCGCCAATGGACGAACAGAAAGAAAATGTGATATATACACACAATGGAATATTATTCAGCATTAAAAAAAGGAAATCCTGCCATTTGCAACAATATAGATGAACCTGGAGGACATTATGCTAAATAAAATAAGCCAGGCACAAAAAGACAAATTCTATGTGATACCATTTATATGATGAATTCAAAATACTCGAACTCAGAAACAAAGTAGAAATGTGGTTGTCAGAGACTAAAGGGAAATGGGGTGGGGTATTAATCAAAGAGAACAAAGTCTCAGTTATGCATGATGAATAAGTTCTAGAGATCAACAGTACAGTATAGTGGCTATAGTTAATAATATAGTAAGTCCTCTACATACGAACCTTCAAGTTACAAACTTTAACGATGCACATCTGCATTTTTAAAATGTATTATTTCTCTCCACCAGGTGTCAGTATAGACTGTTAAATACATGTAGAACCATACAATCAATTGTGTTACCTGGGTACTAGGCTAACTTTGTTAGAGTCAAAACAAATTGGACTTCTACATGTGCTCTTGGAACAGAATTTGTTTGTATGGTGGGTACCTCCTGTCCTGTATTATATACTTAAACATTGCTAAGAGGGTAGATCTTATGCTAAATGTTCTTCTTAATAATAATAATAATAAATAAAGTGGACAGGATAATACTTTTGGAGATGATAGATATACTTACGGCACAGATTGTAGTGATGGTTTCATGAATATACACTTATCTCCAAATTCAAGCTGCATATATTAAATATGTACAGCTTTTAACATGCCAGCCAAACCTCAAAAAAGAGTTTTTAAAAAAATTCTTGCTAATTTGATAACCTTGTACATTATGTACCAACTTCTTTCTTTGACTTTTTTCTCTATTTTTGTTTCTAACTGCCTACAACCCTTTTGTTTCATTACAATTCTTTATCTCTTATTTATTTATCAAGCTACAAACAGAATATAAAAAATGAACATGTTGATGAACTTCAAGCAAATAAAAAGAATGTACCTCAGAGAAGTGCTACTATTTGCAGTAGTTTCCACACCAGTACTAATCTCTGTCATCAGATCTGAGAGGGGAAAGTTTTCTGAAAATAAACAACAGCAATATAATTACTATCTCCCTTGTTTTTCCAAAACAAATAATAGGAAATCTAATTTCCTAAACTCTTTACACAAGTGGGCAACATGTATGCACTGTGCTATCCTAAAATATATAATTCTAACTATTCCCCACAAATAAAAAAATTCTCCAAGATATATTTTATCTAATTTCATAAGAAGCAGAGAATTTTTAGAAAATATGTTCTGTGATCTTTAAGGGCTTAGTTAGAAAACAACTATCACACTTCCCCACAAACTCTGGGCTGGACAGGATTCTAGGCAAAGTATACATTTCTAAAGCTTTTATGTTGCTTACATAAAAATCATGAGAAACTTATCAAAAGCAGAACTCTTAAGGATAAATTAACCTCTGTACTAAAACTAGACAGTAGGGCACGTAGGTGGACAGAGAGTAAGTGAAGTACTTCACCTTCCCCTTTCTAGAGTCCTGGGATGACTGGGACCAACTGACAACAAACCACTGACTGTAATAGCAATGTGAATACCTAAAAGGTTTGTATCTACTAGGCTCACCAAGTCTTTGCAACTATGAAAAAAGAGCTGTGATTATCTCCACTTATGAGTAATCTAAGGCTTAAAAAAATTGAGGAGTAGACTTGGGATGCAAACCCAGACTTGCTGAACTCCATAACCAGCTCTTGTCTACCATACCATGCCTATACCCTCATTTCCTTTAGATATTCAGCAAGTCACTATCATTCTACTGCCATTTTATTTATGGACAAAGTCCCCATACAGTACCTATATCATCATAGCGTTCCACCCAGACTACAGAAACTCTTGTCTCAGGTCCAAGTGGGGGCACAGGGCGACCCTGAGGCAGCTTCTTCATTCTAGAACTGGGACTGAGCTATATGAGGAAGAGGAGAGGAAAAAAATTTGACTTAATAAAATTACCTAGTCATACATTTATCAAGATGCCCAGTGAAAGAAGTATTAAGTCATGGGAAATCGCTTTAGGAAAAACTGTGAAATACATTTGCAAAGAAGCTCTTCCTTAGTTCATGTTAATCAGTCTTAACCTAGGACAAGAAAATGAAGGCCTAAAATTGTCAAAGGAAAAAATGTAAGGAATACTGAACAATTTATAATTAGCATTAATACAAATAAAATCCACATGCCATGTCTTACTGAGGGATTAAAAGGATTTAAGTCTGTCTCTACCCTGGCCAGAAGGCCGTATGCTTTCCCCCGTCATAGCAACATCACCACTTTGAGGTTTCTAATCTCCAAAATGTCCTATCAGCAAGTTATTCCTAATTCTCAGAGCAAATGTTTCCTACTGCAATCTATGCCTAATCCCTTTTTCTTGTCAGCAGAAAGCGAAGAATTGCTTGGCCTTCACCATCACGCACAGTGTGTGTCTGGCTTCCCTGTAACCCAGCCAGATCAAGGTTTCACAGCAAGGCTAGTGGCACTAGGTGACTCCCCTTTAGCAAACCAGGAGCATGAGCTGCACTGCTTCTGGGGCATGCAGCAGAGCCAAGCTTGTGCAAAAGCCTTAAACAAAGCTCATGGATACAGAAGGAAGAACCTCATACTTCAGATGAGCTTTAAAATTGAAATTGCTTTATTAGCACAGAAATATATTTATCTTTACCAGATGACCAGAGGCCATGTCAAGTCCCCCAGATGCTTGTTTCTACTTTGACATTCATAGAAAAGGACTGTGACTAAGAGATTTCCCCCAAACTAGTGACAGACATCCAGCCACATGCAAAGACAACTTTTCTTAGCATCAAAACTTCTAATCAGTTTTGAGTCTCTGACTTCCGCCATCTCTGACCTCCAACCCTGGATTTAAAGAGCTTCTGTGATTAGGTCAGGTCTACCTAGATAATCTCCCTTTTGATTAACTCAAAGGAACTTTAATTAAACCCACATAACCCCTTGGCCAAACAATGTAACATAATCATGAATATTCTATCAGATTCACAGGTTCCACTCACACACAAGTGGAGGACATTATACAAGGGCAAGGGTCACTGGGGTCATCTTAAAATTTTGCTCAGCATACTGATCTTTTTTTCCTGCAATCTTGTTAAACTCACTCAAAAAAATAGTTCTAAGAGATTTTTAAAATAGATTCCTCAGGGTTTCCTACCTATATGATCATGTCATCTGCAAATATACAGAGTTTTACTTCTTCCTAATTTTTATGCAATTTATTTCTTGCCTAATTTCTTTGTGTAGAATCTCTACTACCATACTGAATAGAAATGGTGAGAGCAGACATCCTTGCCTTGCCCTCCATCTAAGAGGGAAAGCATTCTAGAATAATGTATAATGTATAATATTTGCTGTAGGTTTTTAGTAGATGCTCTCTATCAGGTTGAGAACGTCCTATTCTCATGAATAACAATGAGTGCTAAATTTCTACCAACTGCTCTTTTGGACATCTATGGAGACAACCATATGATTTTGCCTTTTTTTAAGTCTGTTAGTAGTTTGCAAAGTACAGTATAAGTGATAAATAAAAACATGGTACTTTAAGAGTTGTCATTCTCTAGATTCTAAGGAAAAACTATGTCGGCATTCAGAGAATGAGTACAAAGGCACACAATCACTGAATATTCGATCTAGCTAAAATCTCGCAATACCATACAACACTGAAGTGCTCACCTCTAAACTGTATTTTGTAAAACCTTCAAAAAAAATCCTAATTTTCAAAAATCTGTCTTGCTTCAGGGTGTCGTATACAACTTGGCATTTTCCCTAAATCAAGTGAAAAAGTAAAAACCTTCCCTGCATTCTCTTCTAAGCATATACTTATGTTAAAAATTATTTTCAATGTGGAGAGAAGCCAAATTAAAATCCTATACAAGGAAGAAGGTCTTTAGTCAGTTTACTTCTTTTATCTTTTTTATTATTTTTCTAAATCAATCTTATGCTCATGACTTGATCCTGTATTCTTGCTATCACTTACTTGCAGCACTTTCCAGTAAGAATTAAAAGATAACATGATGGTAAAACACAGATAAAGAAGTAATATCAGCTGATCGGGTAAGAAAATATAAAAGCAAAAAGCATTCATCTTGTAGTAAGGACTGTGTAGGGACATTCACTCAACATATGTATTTATATGCTGAGCTATTCTCCAAATGTTCCCATTTTTATATGGTCACACTTGTCTAAGTCGAACAGTGAATGATTAAAGATAAGAAACATAAAACTACTGCTTTAGTGGATATTTCAGGGACAAAATAAAAACCTAGGCTTAAAAAGGAGGAAGTGAAAGAACTAAACACAGGAGCAGAATAGTGAAATCAAGAGAAACCACAAAGGGTGTCTCAGAATGAACTGTGTGTTGTAGGCTGAAAAACAAAATCAGGAGAATTGTATTTTAAAAATTTAAGTTCCTAATGAATAAATATCTGCTATAATTACTCTCTGAGTTAACAGTGAAAGCTTTTCAGGCAGGATTCTATAACTACCCCCATTTCACTACAAATTTTTGGAGATACATCAACAAAGTGACTTACCCTTTGTGAGGAATTAAGATTGTCTGTATGATTGGGGAAAAGCTCAAGCGTCAGGGATGGCTGTTTCAGAATTCCTGGCATAAGATCCATATTTGAATCACTATCTTGGTCTGAGATGTTACTTTCCAATGAATCGGCTATGGGGTAAGGGAAAAAAAGCAATTATAATGCCTACTACTTCTGTGGAGCAAATGTGTTTAAACATACTATGTTCACTAGTTTAAGTCACTTAAAAAAAGCATTGCTTCTAGAGCAAAGGCTGACAAACTTTTTCTGTGAGGGATCAGGTAATAAATACTTTAGGCTTTGCTGGCCATATAGATCTCAGCTGTACATTCTTCTTTGCATTTCATTTATAACCCTTTAAAAATATAAAAATCATTCTTGGCTGAATTTGGCTTGTGCCACTATAATTTGCCAGCTCCTGCTCACAGATAACTGAGGTAAGACTAGCAAATATTTTACTTCTCAGATGTAAAATATAATAAATGCCATCATTATTCTCTGAATTATTTTGATTATATATTGAATCATGCAACTCTGTGCCAATAGGCACTGGAACATCCAAAAGTCATAGAGCAATCCAGTTGGAGACAAGCACACAGATGGTTGTCCCCGCCTCCTCCCAAAAACCCAAATATCAAGAAACAGGAAGAAGTTGAGTTGGAGTGGGGCACAGCTGGCACAGGGAACACTTCACAACAGAGACAAAGACCCACTTGTAGGAACTAAAGTACAAGGGTAAAGCTCTACCTCTCAGAGACCTTGTCTGGTGTGAACAGGCTGGGCCAGAGAAACCAGGCAGGAACTCAGTCCAGAGAACAGATAGTCTGGCTTCTGGAATGGGAGTGGCAGATCAGAGCCTTGACAGGAAGGCTGCTATGATACTGACTCAAACCATGGAAGGTCCATCCTGCCAGGATCACAACTGGCCCTAGAGTATGAGACAGGGAAGTGCCTACAGTGGAAAATCAAGTGTCCAAGTACAAAGGTTAGGAAGCTGCCAAGGCAGGGCACAACAGAAGCCATTAGCCTGGAGATGAGAATGTGAATGTGCGATCATCCTACAACTGATCGCAATGAAGAAGAAAGTGAAGTTTTCCACCTACTGCTTGGTCAGACATGAAGAAATGAGCTCAATTTGCAAAAAGCAAAGGTTCTGGGCAAAATAAGACTGTGAGTTCAGACTGCGAATAGTCATCCCAAACCTTAAGAAAAACAATCTTGACAACCCCTTTTCTAGGCTGCTTAAGTTTCTTCTGCCCAGCGTTAGATCAGCCAAAAGCTAGCATGACATCTTTTGATTTGTAGGATTTTAGATAGTAGCTATCATATGCGAACAGGGAAGTGAAGATTCACTCATAACTAGAGAAAAAAAATGAACAAATGGGACCATAGGCCTTCTATGTATTGATTAATTAGATTAAAGACAAAAATGGGGTGAAGTGAGACTCCTTCACTATTAAAAGACTATTAGAGGGTCATTCTGCCTTTCGTTAATTACTTTCCAAAAGAAAGTTAAGAGATGGCAACATCCTGTACCTTTGCATGATCTAACAGTTATAATGCCTTAGAAGCTAAAGAATGCCTTAGATCACTTCAAAATCTCTTCAAATGCAATAAAACTACACAAACCAGGAATACAAAAGTAGATCCTAAAACAGCCCCATGCAAAAGTGCTCTTACTTAAGGACTCCACAGGAGAAGGAACCACAAAAGCTATTTCCGTAAGGGCATCAGCATAATACAGCACCTTCTTCTGTCCATTGAAAATGCTAGCCCCAAAATCTTCAGAGGAAATCACTTCATCTAGGAACAAGAAACACTATGTTACTGCTTCAAAAAGTAGGAAAAACCAGACTCATCCTGCTTCATTTAAGTGTTAACTGGTTAATAAAGTGATGAGAAATAATAGAAGATACATAAGAATAAACTATATGTTCATTAAATGTTCCTTATACAACTTTAGATCTTCAAATCTTAATTTCATAGTTTCTGAAACAACTCTGTATCAGACCACTTCTTATAAGCAGGGCCTTTACCTTATCTACATGAGGCAGATTAAGAGAGCAATCAATTGGATCAGTTGAATAATCAAAAGGAAGACCACCCCAGTCGCTCTGGAGGAAATGGAGGCAGGGGGTGGTGTGTGTGTATGTGTGGCCTTGCTTTCAAGGCATTTGTCCCAGGTCTCTTTCTACTGTTCCTTAGCTCTGCTTCGGCTCCACCTTCCCACTGGTCAGTGAAATCACATAAAAACGAACAGGCAATTTTAGTAATAGTGTCTTCTCTAAGCCAGGAAGACTGAATTAACAAAAGAAACACTCATGAAAACCAGTATTGTTCACAATTAAAATGAACTCAATGTACTAACAGTAAGATGTAAAAGATCAACAACATCACAAAAAATTGGACAGAGGAAATGAACAAGTAATTATCAGGAAAGAAATAATATGAAAAGACACCATTATTAAAAATGGAAAATTTCTCACTTAACAAATTAGAATATACTTAATGCTGGTGAAGGTATGACAAACAGGAAGTTTAGACCAGAAGTTAGCAAATTTTTTCTGTAAAGAACCAGCTAGTAGGCCAGACATGGTGGCTCATGCATATAATTCCAGCACTCTGGGAAGCAGAGGCGAGAGGACTGTCTGAGCCCAGGGGTTTGAGACTAGCCTGGCCAACTGGGTGAGACCTCATCGCTATAATATATATAAAAAGTAGGCAGGCATGGTGGCACATATCTGTCGTTCCAGCTTCTTGAATAGCTGGGGCAGAAGGATTACCTGGGCTCAGCAGGTCGAGGCTGCAGACTGTGCCACTGCACTCCAGTCTGGGCAACAAAGTGAGACTCTGACTCAAAAATAAAAAAACAAACAAAAAAAACCCAGAAAGTAAATATTTTAGGTTTTGTAAGCAATGGGGTCTTTGCCACAACTACTCAATTCTGTCACTGTAGCATGAAAGAAGTTATAGACAACACAAAAATGAGAGTGTGACTGAGTTCAAAAATAATCATGGGTTTTCGTTTGTTGACCCCAGTATAGACTCTGGGCAGGAACTTTGTATCTGCCACAGTAGACACTGTGTTACTAGCCCAACAGTCACTCCACTGGCCCCTACTCCGCAGCAGGCATGACATGCAAGTGGGACTGACCTTCATACCAGCTCTAACTTGTCAGTATCTCTCCAAATAAAAAAGGATTGCTGACAAAATGACACCAAAAACTCAACCAACCTCCGGAATTTTCAGTTACATAAGGCAATAAATGATCTGTAACATCTAAACCACTTTGGGTCAGGTTTCCTGTGACTTGCAACCATAAGTATCCAACTGATATATTTATCAAAATGAAAAATAAGCACTAGACATTGGCATTATCCACTTCAGAGCAACAATAACATTAACTTTCTAGTGGCCTCGGAAGCCCAAGAACAAGAAGCATTAGCCAAGTGGGCAAAAGTGCTAAGTTTAAATTTATACTTGTTCTGTTACATGTTCTCCTGATCACAGTTCCTCAGAAGGATCTGAAGGGATGGGAAAGAATCTCTCAGAGATAGTCAGCTGTCTACTACAAAAGTTTTAAAATAATACTGTAAGAATGTAACCTTTAATTATGACTCTTTTGATAAGCCACAAAGTCTATAAAACACACCTGTTAATAAAAACTATTTACTAGACCAAACATGCTTGTTAGGAAACTTTACTGTTTGTTATAAATAACCTATATTTATTACACTATTTTTTATAGAAAATTATATTTGTTTATTCATACTATAAAAAGGAACTACTCAGTATTGTAATAATTAAGTTACTGATTTTTGTATTAACTCTATCATTATATGCATATTTATCTTCCACACATACAGAAAAAGTCTAAAAGAATATACCAGCCTATTATTAAGTGGCCCCCCTGTCAGGACTGGAATTAGGGGGAAGAGACTTTTCCTTTACATATATCCCTGTTTTGTTGTGTATTTTTAACAAGACTACAACTTCATAGTAAAGGGGGAAAAAATCAAGAAAAATAAAACAAGAAACAAATGACCACTATGAATTTTACCTTGTTCAGATCCTTCACCATCATCGCAAGTGTTAATAGACCAACTGGTGGAAACATGCCCAGTCCAACCAGGGTGTTTGCCCACATCTACTGACCAGCCAAGGGAGAGTAAAAATTCTAGGAAATGTGGCTGAACATTTCTGGAAGACTCCACATTCTTTAAAATCTGAAATACATACCAATCATCAGCTATAATGAAGGAAATAAAAGAACAAATCGAAGTAAATCTTCATAAAAACTGTTAGCTTTGATGCTTCTGAAAAATCAAGTCAAAATTTAGAGTAAATTTGCAGATATTATCACTGAAAAATGCATGCTCAGGAGTTAGACAGTTTTGGATTGGTTGAGCCCTAGGCAAGTTTCTTAATCTATAAAGCGGAGACAATGATAGTGAAGAATAAATGAGATAATGCAAGTAAAGCCCTGAAATCTCTTTCTGGCAAAACAATTATTGAACTAGACAAGTTTACTAAGAGACCTGTTCCTGCTTTCACAGAGTTTACTGTCTGTAATGAGAAACATTAAACAGGCATGTGATTAATTAATTACATATCTTGAAAATGGTATAAAAGCATAAACTTAGTAAAAATTCTATAAGGATTAGGTATAATTAATAAATGAGTATGAAAATATCTTTTCCTTAATCCAAAGGAGAGAATTCAGGAAAAATGAAGTGACCAAAAGGTTCTCCTCTTCATTAAGTACTAAATGTAATGCTTGGGCTTTCTACTGGCTTCCGAAAGAGTCCCTTATTCTAGAACAGTAGTTATCATCTAGGGGTAATTTTGCTCTTCAAGGAATAGCCAGTGTTGAAGATATTTTCAGTTGTCACAGCCAGGGAGGCACATTACTAGTATCCAATGGCAGAGGCCAAAGATGTTGCTAAATGTTTTAAAATGCACAGGACAGTCCCACAACAATTTTCTGGCCCAAGATGACAATAATGCTGTTGCTAAAAAACTCACTTCTAAAGGAAGGAAAATAAAAAATTCCTCCCCAAATTAAAAGTGAAAGGGCGGAATGGGGGACAGTATATCAAAATCCCCTGGGAAATTTCCTAAAAGTAAGATTCCTGAAGCCTGCTCTAGACCATCTGAATTCAAATCAGCCAAATGAAGAATTCTGAAATCACTATTTTTAAAAGCCTACCCCCAAATGACTGTGATGCAACCAGTCCACACATCACTGATGTCACTCACACAATGCTAATCTATTTCAAGATCACACGGAAGCCTGTGAAAGTCAAAATATGGGAAGTTATACTCATTACTTCTCAACCCACTAGATCTTTATCTCTTAAACACAGAACAGTCGCTTTATAAGTCTACCTATTTAGTTCACCCATTTCCCTTCATATTCTTGTGAGTGACAGAAAACTGATTTGACAGCAATTTCCAGTTTTTGCCATTAAAATTTTTATTTAGAAGTAAAAACTTTAAATAAACAATTTCTGAAAATTTAGTCAAGAAGCAATAAGCAAATCAAATTCAACTTGTAGGCCACTTGCTGGCAGCCAGAAATTAATCTAAATCAACCCTGTGGTTTAGGGAAGGCAGGTCTTGGCCATTCCAAAGGAAGCCTCAAGAAATCTTCATTGTTTCCTAGTACCAAAAAACTCAGCCCCTAAAAACCTAAGAAAATTGAACTGGTTTAGGAGTTTCCTCAAGGGCTCGTGTCTTTTTTTACAGGTAGGAGAAAAATGACTCCGTTATTCTTATAAAAACAGTGTACTAGATTGCCTTCAGAACAGATTCCCCAATCCCTACAACTCATCCAATGTTACTGAGGTTCTCCCAAAAAACTTGAGCCCACAAGTCTCATCCTTGGCTACCACCAGCCTACCTTCTCCCAAGCTCCAACCATAATGAATTTCATGAAGATGCAATACCATCTCACCCCTGGGGAATTTATACATGTTATTACTTTGTTATAATCTGCTTCTGCCTCAAATACCATCTTAAATGTCTTTACCCCCAGGCCACCATCTTAAAATCAGGTTATGTTTTCCTATTATGACTTACATAATGAGCTTTAATGTTTAATGCCCCATTAGCACACTTTACTATGGTTGGTTGCTTATTTAATCATCCATCTTACTCCTAAACAGGGAGTTTTGGGAAGACAGAAACCTTGCAGTTCCTGTTTGCCACTGTAATCCTGGTACCTAACAGCAAACACTTAACAAATACTTACTGAATCAATAATATGAAATGAAAATAATTTTCCCTAAATCAATCTTTTTTCCAGTCGATCATCAACAATCTAAAACAGTGCTTCTAGTGTAAACATTTTATAATTTAGTCACAGAAGGTAACTGCCTGCCATCCCATGTTTCAATTAATTATTCCCAAAAGACACTTCAAATCTTACGCCATTTTTTCCCAGTTTTGCATTCTCACCTATCTTTCATCTTTCTCCATCCTTCTCCAAATCTTGCCGTTATCCATATCCAGTTGTATTTTCACTCGTCGTTTTTAATCCTTTAAATCGGGTGTTATCTCCCCCACTGCACACTATGTAGCCTCAACCGAAATGATTTGTTTGTGAAATTACCAGGAAGGTGAACTGCTCTCCAAGCCTGGTACTCACTTCTAAACCCTAGCATACTAAGCCGAGGGGAGATGTTCAGTACATATTTGTTGCTGTTATTTTATTCTACTTGAGTAATCAGGCCTAGCTTTAGCTTTTAGTGACAATTTTTATAACTGCCTCCTCTCCCGATTCCTCCTGTTTTTCTTTAAAAACGCAAGCCTTTTTTCCGGCAAGATGGCGACAGAACAGGTCAGACTGTGAGTCTCCGCAAAAGCAAGTGTCCATGAAGACTCTCTGAGTGAATGGGCGTGTGCGGGTGGGTGAGTGAAAGTCTGTCTGAGGGGAGGTTTGGGTTCATTCACCTGGGGCTCTCCTCCGGAAGTCACTGCAACCCCCTACCACCCTGAGATTAGGCAGGATCATCTGCTGCTCTCAGGACTCTCCTGAGAAAAGCCTGCCGAATTCAGCTGATCGTCATCACCTGGAGCCTGACCCACACCATCACCTGTGACAGCAAAGTGACTGGAGCCTGCCATCCATGGAGAGAGCAGTCGGAGAGAGCTGGAGAGGAGTTCCACCACTGGTGAGGGGTGAGGAAACGCCAGTTGGAGCCATTTTCTCTGTCCCCGGACCAGGCAGAGACCTGTACTGCCCCGCCCAGCTCCACCCAGTCTCCAACCTGGGACCTAGAGGTAATCTCATCAAACCTGGAGAGACAGGCACATCAGATCTGAGTGGGAGACTTGACAGGCAGCAAGCTGGGTGAGTTCAGATCTGATCCCACCCTCCATCCCACGGTAGGCCTGGGGCATCTGACCCACACGGAGAGCAACCCTATCAGCCTGAGATGAGAGCAGAGGGGAGGGGCTGGAGATCAGAGCTGAAAGGAAATTGAACTTACAGGAACCATCTCAGAAGCAGTTTTGTTTTATGCTAGTCTGTCTGTTTTGTTCGTTTTTTGTTTGTTTGTTGTTTTACTTTGTTTTTCTTTTTCTCTCATTTTTGTTTATGTTTTTGTACTGTCTTTGTTTCTGTAATTTTATTGCTTTATTTTTTTTTAGACTTTCTGTTTGTGTATGGGCGTTTTTGAGGGAGAGTACATCAATGGGCGTCTCTGTCAGTTTGTGTGTTTGTATGCTTAGTTTTTTAAAAAATATTTTCTGTCTTTGTGTCTCTTTTCATTTGTTAGTTGGTACACCTGTCTGTTTTCCCTCTTATTCTCTCTCTCCACCTTTCTCTCATACTCTCTTTTCTTTTTCCATTCCTTTCCTTTTCCTTACCTCATTTTGCTTTCAGGGGGCAAACCTATACTCCCACTACATGGACAGATTGTAAGGCAGTGGGAAGTAGGTTCACGGGGGCCCACACACCTATCAGTGGATACTGGGATCTGCAGATACTTTCTGAATCACAGCTCCCCCCTCACTTAAATCCCCAAACTGCAAAAAGTACAGCCCCCGACCCACAGTCCAACTTCAAAACTGAACAAAGACAGAGGATCCACATAAGGAAGAATAGGAGATTGAGCAAACAGAAGTGAAAGCTACTCCTCCATCCCTGAACAACAGAATTAAAGAAGAGGTTAAAAAAAAAAAAAAAAAAGAAGAGGGAGAAAAATCTACACAAATGAAGAAAAACCAAAAGAAGAATATGGGTCCCACACAGAATGCTGGGAGGTCAGTCACTGAGAATATAGACTTAAGAATGCAAACAGTGAAGAGCCCCCAGAATAAACGGTCTCAAACCACAAACCCAGATATCAAGACATTAACAGAGAGAATAAATAGAATCGAGGAGAGACAAGAGGAAAAAAATGAAGGAGTTGATAACTGAGATAACAGCAATAAGGAATACAATGAATTTAATAAATAACAAACTGGTAAGCATGGAAAGCAGAATTAGCCAAGCAGAAGAAAGAATCTCAGAACTTGAGGACCAAAATATGGAACTATGTTCCATTTATGCCTAGATGTTTGAGGAACCATATCAAACTGACAAGCTTCTACAAAGACAAAGAAACCATCAAGAGAGCAGGGAGACAGCCCATAGATTGGGAAAAAATATTTGTCAATTCTATGTCTGATAAAGGCCTAACATCTAGGATCTACAAGGAACTCAAATGTGCCAAAAAGAAAAAAACAAACAGCCCCATTACAAAGTGGGCAAAAGATATGAATAGACACTTCTCAAAAGAAGACGTATGAGCAGCCAACAGATACAGGAAAAAATACTCAGCCTCACTAGTCATCAAAAAAATGCTTATTAAAACTATACTGAGATACCACCTAACTCCAGTAAGAACGGTCATCATCAATAACTCCAAAAAAAACCAGATATTGGAAAGGATGTGGCGAAAAGGAAACACTTCTACACTGTTGGTAGGAGTGTAAACTAGTACAGCCTCTGTGGAAAACAGTGTGGCAATTCCTAAAAGATCTAAAAATCAACCTTACATATGACCCCGTAATCTCCCTACTGGGAATATACTCAGGAAGAACTCAAATCACTCTATAAAAAAAATACCTGCAAACGTATGTTTATTGCAGCATTGTTCACAATAGCAAGAACATGGAACCAACCATGCTGCACATCAAAAGAGAAATGAATAAAAAAGTGACATATATACACAAGGGA